ATTAGTTTAATTTCAATATTTTCTAAGAGTTTTATTGCATTGAAAAATTTTATTTAAAGTGAAAAGTAAGTAAGTGTAAGTGTTGGTTGCTGTAAAAGTCAAAAATAACTGAAGGTCAATTTTAGTTTTGTTAATCGTTCACAAAGAGCTCATCGAATTTGCCCATGTGTGTGTGTGTGTGTTTTTTCATATTCTATCTTTATTTGAATGTATAAATAATAATACTTTCTTGGTGCTTTGAGAGTAAAGAATGAGTTTTTCAAGTTTACCAGTCATGCAGTTACTTATTGTTCGTTAATGGATGCTAATTTTGATATTTCTGTACAAATTTAATGCTCGCTTTTTATTCAGCCATATTTCGGTTTATTTTATTGCAAGTTTAACTCTTGCTTGTATCTTCTACTGAAATAATTTGTCATTTTTAGTCTCATTCCAAAGATATCACGAAGACATTTTTGTCATTTCCATTCCTTGTTTGTCTCAAGCAATTTTTGTCTTTTATTCCCCTTTATCACCTTTTATTTTTTACCTTAGTAATTTTGATACTGCAACATTAATCTTTACACTCAATGTGTTATTTACAAAATAATAAAAGTTGTAATTTTTTGAAAAAATATTTTTCATTTTTTAAAGGTGTATAGCGTAATTATTTACTCAAAAGACGTGTGGCAAGTATGGTGAAAATTTTACCACAAACAGAAGCATCAGTTGGTAATATTACTTCACATGGTATTACAACTGAAAAACCACCAAGCAAAAAAGTAACCATCAAACCGATTGATTTCAAAAGTGAAAGCACTGATTTGAAGGTTAGCAAAATTTTTACTCAATTTCTTTACAGTATCAATATATAAGCAGTGTGATACTTTTTTACATGATAGCATATCGTCAACGTGACTTATTGTTATTGCAACTAAAATTACTGTGCTCATTATGAGTAGGTTATCCTGAATGAAATATACATTCAATTTTGACTAATAACTACTACATTAGATGAAATATCCGCTAATAATACTTGCTTGTAATGATTCATTTTGTGAACTATTATAGATGAGTAGTCATTTTGCCATCATAATATTATGTATCTGATGGATCTTAAATTTGTACACATCGTCCAATATTTTACAGAATGTTCAGTAATGAGTAGGAAATTCGTATGACTAAACAGTTCTTGTCATACACATCAGATATTCCTAAAAAGCAACCAAAATTAATTGTTAATTAATTTTTCATAATGTGCATTACTCTGTCATCAAATCGAATTTGATAATCATAATCAGTAATCAAATTCTTGTCCTTACTGAACACGAAAAAAGTTAGATCAATTTCACTTTTTTTCTTTCCTCCTTCAGCATTAATTTTCAAATTTATTTCTCCATCGGAAATCAATGCAGTCATTTTCTTGATTCATCGTGGCATGAGTTCACTGATCATATTCAAGGGCATTATTTGTTGACTGAAAAAGTAATCAATTATTAAGAATATTCAACATTGTTTGAACTCACTTAAGCTTGTGACAAATATCTATGGAAATTTGCATGATGAAAAGTGCTGACACTTACCATCGGTATTTGATATTATGCAATTTTTCAAGCGACATTAGAGAAGACTGCAAAAATAATTTCCTTTGTTCGAAATAACTTTTGACCTTAATTAGCAGTTATTTATCTGCTTATGTCGCAAGGCAAGTATATCGCCTTTAAATACTAGAAAATTAATTTTGTACTATAAAATTTACTTATTATATTCAGTATTCTACTAAATATAATCAGTAAATTCATTTTTATGATGTGTAAAAGGCTGATAGAAAAATTAGTAGCAGGTGGTTTATCACAAAGTTTAGTTTAGTTTTTTAGTAAAAAAAAATTATAAAAAAGTCATGAAATGTAATTTTATGTAAAACTATTTACACCTGGATAAAACGATATTTAATTGTTTTCCTTAAAAAAAGTATATTATTTTTGGTATTAAAGACAAATATAAAGCGCCGAAAAATTAACAGGAAAATGAAATGATATTGCGAAAAAATTTTCAAACTTACCGCCTGCTACTTCTACTTCAACTTTTTGTATTCTGATTTCGTTAATTTTTTCTCGTATTTTTTATCGTTCTTCGATTTCAAACTACTGGCACAAAATTGCAACCTCATTGAATTTCCAGTTTGTAATAAATAAACATTTTCATTCACATATGCATGTGAAACAGGAACACATTCATATGTGAATGAAAATCTTTACTTATTATAAACTAGAAGTTCTTCAAAACTGCAGTCATCATGGGACATAAATTTTCTTGCTCACATACCTCAGTACATGACTTGATTTACTTCATGAGGCTATGCTAGTTGATTACTTCAAGAGCCGCTTTACACAAGATTAGCAGTGCTGTCTAATGAATATTGGAAGTAATTGTTGCTGTCAGTGCCGTAGATGTGAGACTATTCATGATAACATCAAGTTCATCATTACAAGGTATTATCAGTTAATTGATAACATGATATTTGTTCCGATGAATACATGAAACTTGTTTTGGAAACAGACATTTGCTTAGAACCACTCATTAATTTGTCAGCAGCCTACTTTGCCATCTGACTTTGTTCACATAACCCTAGCTAAGAATTCATTTCTAATTTTCGTTGCTATAAACATTCGAATCTATGTTCAATACGACTATCTCTTATTTCAGATTAACCTCCTATAACAGTAATCAATTTTTTTATACCGAAATTTTTTCTGAAAAGACACATGGGCAGACCATAAATAGTGTAATGTTATTCTTAAAATTGATCTATCTGATTCACTATACAAATACAAATTTATTATCAATTTGTATATTTTATGTAATTAATATATCTGTACAGCAACAATCCACTTGAAAGTAAAAACATATTACACAAATGAATATTACTGATGCATTGTGCTTATCAATTGTTATATTATACATCACTTATACCTAACTGCAAGCATCATTGATAACAACATCTCTTACCAACAAAGTTTATGACAAAATAATCAACAAGTTTAAAACTGGAATATAAAGAAGAAAAGAAAGCAGTCATTGTTTAGTATTTCGTTGACAAACGAAGCAACAAGAAGCAAGCAGGCAAACGCTCACTGATTGATATGTAAATGATGTTGATATTGGTATGATGAATTCATTCTGAAAATGAAATTATATGAAGTTGACATTCTGAACCAGAAGAATTATTTGCATGCTATCTATCATATTACATAAGGGAGTAGAACTGCTTTTATTAAATTTTGTTTATTTTTAAATGAATTCTGATCAAGATTCCTTTCTTTTATCTACTACAAATGATCCTGCAATTTGCCATCATTCTTTTGTAAGTTTTTTGCTTTTTTTAATCCGAATTCTTCTTGAATTTCAATCAGTATTTCACTAAATTTTACATTAAATTTTGTTATTATTTGTTTCCACAATTGAAAATGATAATATTGCAAAAATTGTTGTTGTTGCTCAACAATTGCAATGAAATCAAAAATATTTGCATTTATAAGAATATATATTTAATCATTCATAAATAATAAGAATAGAATAACTCAAAGTTCATGCACCAAATGAATATAGTTTTAAAATATGCTCTCAGTTAGTAGTAAATTGCTTTCTGTAATATATTTATAACTATCTTTAACACTGTAGTTAAATATTATATCAGTGATGATTCTTCTTGTTCCAGGTGAATCTATTTCATAGTTAATGAAAGTTTTATGGATTGTGAAATCTTTCATTAAATGTGAAAGATTCATAAGCTTTACTTCAATGTCTTAAGGTTTCTCTTCAAAATCTTCAAACAATTTAAGTTTCTTGAGTCATGTGCAACTCTATAAAGCTGCTACATCACTTTTACGTCTTCAACTTCTCCTAACATAACTTATAGCTGATAATATTAGTGATATAAACAGTGATATAAGAGCTCGGGAACAAATCTACAATGCTCAACATAGTGTGACATTCATTGTGTTTAAGAATCACTTTAAAAAAATATTTCGTTGCAATAGTATTATGGGACTCTGAAATGAATAATCCAATTACAGTGTAATTTGCAGTTTGTGTAAAATTTATGGGACGTGTTACAAAATTGTTGAGCAGTGGGACTGTGAATTATTTATGGTTTAAACATTTGCTTGCTAGTCTTTATTTACCAGCATATTTCCTGTTAAACAATATTAAAACTCGAAACGTCCACTGATATGATGATTCGAATGACGGGAAAAAATCGGTGTAAAGATGAATCTGGTGACGTATTCATAAATGAAGACGAGTTGATGAGTGAGTTATCGGGTAAGGAAGCGGATGTTTTAAATTGTTCAGGTGTTGCATATACAGACTTACGGTACAGAACTAGCCAACGGTATGCAAGTCATTTTGGAGAAAGTAGCAAAATCTCAGGAGAGGATAACGATGAGGAATGGGATTATGATAAGGTTGGTAATAGTGGGTATTATATGCTTAAGCTTTAACTACGAAATTTAGACAATAGTGTACCTTTCAAGTCTATAACATTTTAATGTTCATTGTATAGAAGTGTCATTTCGTACTACTGCAACTACTACTAATTTTTTGTCCCCTTACATTTTCTCACGTTCTATTTCGTTGTATTGCATACATTTCCAGCAGCAGCTTTCTGAAATATTCCTTTTTGGAAGCAAATAATAATCTGAATTTGCTTGTTGTTGTTGCGATAGGAGCTATCATATAGTTACTTGTCTTTTCTTGTCATCTACTTTTCATAGTTACAAATTGTTATACCAGATCTGTAATTATTTTTGTATTTAATATTTTGTCGTAAGCACCTCATTCCTTTTTTCAGATCATTTCTTTCTAGAGTCGCTTAGTTACAAGTATTTTACACAGTGAATTGTTTAGCGTATATAAAAATTGATTTGCAATGATTAACCATTTTGCATTTTCGAATGAAATTACATGTTCTTTAGAATAGCGGATTTCATTTTTTTTAGATTTCTTCTGAAGACATATCACTGTCATGGTTTGGGCGCATCAAGAAATCGTTGCATGGAGATTTTGGCTCAATATGTCTCTTATTATTTCTTTATTTGCTGCAAGGCATTCCGTTGGGTTTGATTGCAGCTATTCCTTTGGTGCTCTCTAGCAAAAGTGCATCGTACAGCCAACAAGCTGTGTTCTCTTTTGCTTATTGGCCTTTCAGGTTACAGTGTTTGTTGCAAACTCCTTGTTTTATGCTTAAACAATTAATGCTGTAAAGATTTTTTCTTATGTTATATTTCGCTCTGTCTACAAATGTGAAAGAAAAATGGATCATTATAATGCTGTTGCTAGTCGACTGGTTTTGTTTCATCATGCAGGTTTTAAAGGCATTTAATGATTAAGATAAGAGTCAATAAAGATGAAAAGTAAAAACTCAAATTGCATGCATTTCTTTGGACAGCATATTCATCTATAAAATTAAGCGAAGATAATAGTTTCATGATTGTGCTCAATATTTATAAAGATGAAGCCTGTTAAGTAATGTTTAACCATTCCAGTATAAAGTTGCTTTGGGCACCTATAGTGGACTCAGTTTATTGGAAACGTATAGGTCGCCGAAAATCGTGGATGGTTCCATGCCAGTATCTTCTTGGAATTTTCATGCTTTTATTATCATACAAAGTGTCTGAAATTATGGGAGATGAAGACTCAGGTGAGTTTGTAAGATTATTTTCAAGGCATGAATTAAATAAATGGGGGGGGGGG